CCCATCCAATAGTAAATGTGATATTTTATTGAAACACTAGGCCGTATTCCTCTTTATTTTGGATTTTACTATGTCACCCCCCTTCACTCTGTCTTAATGCATGTGTGACCGCATGAAATTTGTTCTGAATCCATGCAGTCCAAAATCGTGTTGGTCATGCGGTTGCAACAAAACAGACAGGAACAATGCCAAAGCTTAACAAGGCTTTAAAAACAGTCACTTCAGTGTTTTAGACTGCTGCACCACTTATGGTAGTTGTAATAATTTTTAAAGCCTTACATGTTTAGATATGACAACATTAAAAATATGGAATCAATTAAAGAAATATGCAAACTAGGGAGGAAAAAAAACCTAAGAACATTTGAATACAAAATATGCAAATTGATAGTTTTCTCGCTGTATTTTCATATTGAGTGTATTCATTGAGGGAAATCTGATGCAAGTCAGAGCCTGTCCTCAGAAAACACAAACCCTTAGCTCAATTATGTCTTCCTTACACACCCAATGCTCCTGTTAAAACAGCAACAGGGAGCAAACTCAAATTCAGAACTAAGTCCCTAATCTATGCTTTTATTTTCACATGAAGTTGTTTTTCTAAAACAGGAGCCAGAGTCCTTAATGAGACACAAACAGCATGAAAGTTAAACTTGTTTTTAAGTGGCAGAAAATAAAACCTAAATGAAACAAAACTGCCCTACATCCAAATACCTTTTTAAAAACAAATCTGATATTAATACTGTATCATAGCAGCAGTTGCTTCTTTCGCCCAGAGGTCCCTGACCACTGTCATACACAAATCCACCCATCCTTTTGAGCTTTTTCCTGTGTATAATTCTTTTGCTGGGGGGACAGTCTAGAGGACTAATAGGTCTTTTCCATATTAAACATCTATTAAAGAGACCACACAGCTTTTGTGGATATCTGCAGGCAGGTAACAGTTATTAGCAGGCTTATGCAGAAGGAAAGAAAGAGGCAACAGAAAAGCATCATGGCGAACATTTGGGATCCTTGCCAGGGTGTGGTCGGTCTGTTCCCTTGAGCTGAATACAAGTTCGCAAAGAGAACAGCACAGGCTCTGGGGTGGAAAATGCCAGTCCCTCCCATCTTCGCTCCTGGGAGAGAATTCTAACCGCTCCAAACAGCTCTTTCACACCAGCCACTCAAATGTGACAGGCCAGGAGATGTTTGCCTGGGACTTCAGTCCACAAGACACCCAAGTTTCTCTTTAACAGCTGGTTTGAGTTACTGACAAGAAGTATTGCAATCTCTTAGCAATGTTGTTGTAGATATGTTGCTCCCAGGACATGAGAGAGACAAGGTAGGTGAGGTAATATCTTTTATTGGACCAACTTCTGTTTTGGAAGCGTCAAGCTTTCAAGCTTCACAGAGCACTTCTTCTGATCTAGGTAACCAGAGTGTCTGAGCTAGCCTCAGGCCAGACTGTTAGGCATAAGAGGTTCACGCATGCTGTAGAAGACCACTTAAAATAAAGTGGGCAACTAAAAGTGAGCAGGCAGCAGGGTATGTTACAAATTCTTGTAATGAACCATAAAACCAGCGTCTCTGCTTAGTCCATGGTTTTTAGTATCTAGCACAATTCTAGCGTCAATGAATTTCAGTTCCCAAACTTGTCTTTTGAAGGTGTTGTGCAGGTTTCCTTTGAGGATGAGGATTGAGAGGTCAGATATGGAGTGCCCCATATGCTTATCCATCTAACCCTCAATTGCCCACTTCAGTTTAAACTACATGGTCTCCCTGCACCATGTGTGAACTCCTTATGCTTAACCATTTGTCCCAACTTGTAGTTAGCTTATTCACCCTAGTTACAATCCCCAGACCTGAAGAAGAGCGGTGCGAAGCTCAAAAACTTGTTCCTTCCATCAATAGAAGTTGGTCCAATAAAAGATATTACCTCACCTATCTTCTCTCGGCAATACATTTACTGATGTTAAATGTGATTTTTTTTCTTTGCTAAATAAGGGACTTAGGCCTGATTCTCCTATTATTTACACCAGCTTTATAGCAGGTTAGCGCCACTGATTTACACTGGGGTCAACTAGGGGTTGGTTCATGTAAGTGAGAGGAGAGTCCGGTCCATTGTATCCTTAGAAGAGAGATTTAGGACACAACACCCTTCTGTATAAAAGTATTTCTATGAGTGATGGAACTGCACAGGCTGAATTTCCTTCTGCAGTCACTCACAAAAATGTGCCTACATTGTTTGTTGTTGCTTTTGTGACCAATAATGCATTTTGGAACCTGGTATTAAAGAAAGGCCCAGGCCAAAACCTCCATTTTGAAGGTTCCTTAACTTTTCAGAGGATTTGATTTGGCAAATATTTCCTCTTAAGCCACCGCCTTGTCCTCCTTCAAATCTCTCAAGACTAACCTTTACCATGATGCCTAAAAAGCTCTTCCAGCTGCCCACAGCAAGGCAAGAAGTGAACTGAGCCAATATCTCACCATTACCCCACCCTTTTGTCTATTTCATCCACCTGTTGTGTCTTTTCATAATCCTAGAACGCACATTCTCTGGAGAAAGAGATGTCCATTTTTTGAAAAAAATTGTATAGCCCCTACCAGAATGATGCCCTGATTCTGACCAAGATCTCTGGATGCTACTGTAATATAAATAATAAGAAACATCTGGATCAAATTAAAACCTTAGCGCCAACCCCACCCCACATTTAAAGGTTTAAAATCTAAATTCTGTATCTCAAACCCATCTTTTGGTATCTGATCCCTATGAGGTTGTACTATTTTAAATTTCAATGAAATATCTTAAATTCTTTTTAGAAACCTAGGTACTGCATCTCTTTTAATATATCTGGCACATGGTCAGCTTTTTAGTTGCTTTTGAGGTGGGAAAGACCGTGGGCTGCAAATGCCCTATACGTGCCATGATCTCTTCCTCATCTGTCTTTAAAATATTAACTTACAGCATCAAGAGAATAATAAGCAACAAGGTGGGGGTCTTTCCTAAGGGAATGGGCTGTAGATTAATTAAGCCTGCCAAATCTTTAAATCTAGTACTATCCTGATTAAAAAAAAAAAATCTATCTATATATGAAAGTGGACTATATAATTAATATATTTAACAGGATAAAAGGTAAATTTACACTTCAGCATTTAACTAGCTGAAGTCAAATGGGATTTTCCTGAAACAAAATGTCATTGACACTTTTTAGAAGTAAAAGGCATGTCCTGTATTTGGTTAAAATTCATGTTGTGTACAATCCACATCATTGCTTAAAAAGGAGAAAATATGCAAACCGTTCGTTCATACCACTGAAAGGCTGACAAACAGAAAGCTGAGTTTTACAACTCTGTTTTTAATAGATTGCTGAATATGCTGGGATCAACCTAAAAATCAAAGTTGGCATTTTGTCAAGGGCAACAAGAACTATTAATATTCTAAGTATTCTACTTCCTTGATCAAAATGGGCAGGTTACTTTTTCCCAGTTGTGACCTCAAAGAGTTAAGGATTGCATTATGTGCTCTCTCTGAAAGTTTCCACTAGCTCCTCTTGTGCTGCAATGAAAGCATAACAGCAGCAATGGATTCCTTCCCCTTCCTGTGGAAAAGCGAATATAAACTGGTTGGTGAAATGCAAAGTTTTCTGTGCATGCTTTCTTAAGAACTGTTGCATGTATATAAGTTACAAACTGTACATGCTAAAATACACAGACATATTGGCCATGAATGTGTTCCCACGCTGCGTTGGTGCTAGTAATTCTTAAGTGGAAAATGTGTGTATGCATGACAATGTAGTGGTATTACAGAATGGTAACGAATCTGTGACTTGTGTTATGTGTGGCACTGGTGGTATTGAGATGCAAAATGTATCTATAAAGAGCACCCTACTTTCATGGGTGAGTGAATCAGCGTGTTCTTGCCAGTTAAGCACCAATAGTAGTGATAGAGAATATATACTGCCAGGGAGAAGTGCATGTGTTGTATAAGGGAAGTGAGCATAGATCACCACAGCACTGGTCTGGAAAGTATTTGTATCCATGTAAAAAGGACATGTGTTCTACACAGATGATGAATTTGAGCATTCTCTGCATGTGGCCCTAGGAAGATTGAGATGAACAGTGTATTTCCACGAGAAAGCCAAGTGTCTCCTGTGAGCCATCATTAGCAGCACTGACCTGGCAAATGCATGTGGTTCCAAGGGAAATTGCTTAGGTTACACACATTTAATTCAGTAGGGTGTTCTCCCGGTGGCAGCACCTGCAGCTCTTACATGTCTGGCAAAGGCATGGCTGGGGTGAAGCCCATGCATTGCACAAGGGTGAGGAAGTGGTGTGTCCACGCCTGCCATAGAGCTGACAAATTTTGTGCAGCTCCATGTACCACATTGCTCACCAGGGAGTGAAGGGAACTAATCTCCTCTGCATACTGTGAGCAGTGGGAAGAGGCCACACCTTCTCAGCGGCCCAAGGGCAGATGAAGGCAAGGGTGACCAGATGTCCCGATTTTATAGGGCAGTCCTGATTTTTGGGGCTCTCTCTTCTATAGGCACCTATTATCCCCAACCCCTGTTCCGATTTTTCACACTTGCTGTCTGGTCACCCTAATGAAGGCACTGGGCTCTCCACGAGCCCTGGCCGGAGTGACTATGGGAGAAAGAGCAGAGGTGGTGCTGCAGGGGGCTGAGCACTGGAGAGAGGGCACCTCCAACCACCTGCCCCTTGCAATGGGTCTGCTCCCAAGGACAGGGCAAGAGTAGGGTGACCAGATGTCCCAATTTTATAGGGATAGTCCTGATATTTGGGGCTTTGTCTTATATAGGTACCTATTACCCCCCATCCCCGTCTTGATTTTTCACACTTGCTGTCTGGTCACCTTAGGCAAGCAGTAGAAGAAGGAAGGCACCATCCACCACCTGGGCGGGAAGGGGGTGTATGAATAAAGGGGCCAAGTGCCTGGAAGTTCAGGAGAGCAGTAGGGTCCAGCCTGTCCCGCAGGCCAGGGGCGGCGGCAGCGGCGGACTGACCTGGAAGATGAGCACCTTGAAGTGGTTGCGGCGCAGCAGCTGCGCGTGGTTGTTCTCCAGCCGCTTGACCTGCGCGCACTGGCGCTCCATGCGCTCCCGCACCTCGCGGGTGTGCGCGCTGACCTTGCGCGACTTCTCCAGCAGCTTGCTGACCGCGTTGCTGGTGGAGGTGTGGTGCTTGCACAGCTTGCTCAGGTCGCCCTGGATGCCCTTCACCGAGCCCTCCAGCTCGATCTGCCGCTGCTCCATCCTGAGCTGCTTCTCCTGCACCGAGTCCAGCATGTTCACCAGCTTGTCCAGCAGGGTGAGCACGGTGATGGCGTTCACCTGCGAGCCGTCCCGGATCGCCTCTCCCGGCGAGGCAGGCAGCGGGCTGGGGCTGCCCGAGGGCTCCGGGCTGGGGCTCTGCTCCAGCTGCTCCTCGGGGCTCGGCGGAGCGTGGGCGCCGCTCCGCTCGGCCTGCACCCCATCCTCTCCCATGGCGGGGAGCACAGCAAGGGCCCCTGGCGGCCTCCTCCGCAGCGCTCCTGGCTGGATCCCGCTGGGACCCGCAGGCAGCCGCCGCTGGACACGAGCTGCCCAACGCGCTCCCAGCCGCTCTTAAAGGCTCCCACTCCCCACCCAGTGGGAGGCGAAAGTCCGCCAACTCCGGGCTGCGCTCAACTTCGTGCGACACACACACGCTGCCTAGTCCCCTCCCCAGCGAGGAGACCAATCCCGGAGCCGTGTGTGGGGGGGGGGTTGCCTTCGCCTGGAGCAGGATTGGGCCCGCCAGCTTTTCCCCTCCTGCTGCAGGTTTAACCCCCCCACCCCCTTTAAGTGGAATGTCATATTTCAACCATGACTTCATGCAAGGCGGAGAAAACCAGCCCCGTGGCCCAGTTCCATCGCCAGCCGTTGGCTGCAGCCTGTAAACTTCTACCGCCTGCTCTGCGACGGGTGCAACACAAGAGTTTGTGTTTTCCTCCCCCCACCCGCCCTTTTTCCTGGATACCGAGTGATTTTAATGGAAAGTATTGTTTGCCTTTGTTCTGGGCTGGCTGATGGGTTTCAGCTTGAACCGAGAAAAGGCAGGGGAACAAAGTTTAAGGCACCTTTAGTTATCTTTTTTAAAAGAGAAATATCTCAATGGGTTTATGAAAGCCACCAACGGGTTGGGGGATAATAAGTAAATAAAATCCAACCACACCCGTTGCCTGAAGCTCTAGGCAATGAAAGGAGCCAGGATCAGAACCTTTAACAATACAGTTGCTATTGAGTTCTCTGAGTTACAACTGAGATAAACGAAGCTCTGCTGTGTGAAAAATATTTCAAGTGTAACGCAGAGAACGTTGTAATATTCTCATTTCTATCATTTAAAAAAAATATTTTAAAAAACTCTTTGGGTCAGACATTTAAAGATGGCTTCTAATGCTGCATCTGCATTTTTGTGTCCACACCTGCAGAAAAAAAGTGGTTGGATTTAATCATGTAGCTATTTGATTGTGCTCCCAAAGCAAGTAGTTAAATGTCTTATCTTTTGTGCCCACAGTTAATTGGAAGGGCAAAATGAGAGGCTGTCTTAAAAAATATAGGGGCCTTGATCTTGCAACTGAATGCAGGCGAGTAGATCCCTGCGCCCTCCTGCAGCCCCACAGAAGTCAAAAGGCCTCTGCATCAGCTCAAGGGTCCACATATATGGACCGTGGAGCCTTACGTACATAGCTTTATGCATGTTAACTCACTGGGGCTGCTCTAGTGTGAAAGTGTTTTCAGGAGCTGAGCTTTATGTGAATTTAATGTTTATGAAAGGTGCTGGCTTGACAGCCCTGGAGGTCTTCTGCATATCCTCGGGAGAGCCACAGCCTGGAGAGTCACAGTGCAAACTTCTTCCCACTGTACCTCAAATGTATCTCCAGCCTGACCTGGACAGAATGCCTGTAGGGGTGTCTAAGCTATACTGTGCAGTTGAAACTGACATTGTGCCCTCTCATTAAAGTTAGCGGAAATCACTTAGCTAAAATCCTGTAGAGGGCTTTGGAAATATGTACTGTTCTGATGGATATATTTTCAAACGTAAGTGATCAAGGTAAAAAAACATTGAAAGTCACCTATTTTACATACAAATCTGTGATCTTCACAATAATGTTTAATATCAATTAAATGTCATGATATAATATAGACACAATGTGGATAAAATGCAAACATTTGTTGATTTCACTGGGACATACGATAATTTTCATTATAATGGATTTGGATAGTTTTGGTTTTAACCTTGTATTCATATAGGATTTTGCAATAACCTAGTAAAATACCTTTACAAGAACCAATACACTGATAACAGAAGTATTTACATTGTTTAAAAGGACTCACACAGACATAATATGGTAAGGAAAGATTTTCTTACTGTTTTTTCCCTCATTTTAAATGTTTATACTAGTGTCAAAAGGCAAGAAGATATTAAATAAAAACGATTTTAAGTTAACTAAGAGCTAAATTTTGCTTATTTGGAGTTGTGTGAGGATCATAGAAGAATCATAGCAGATTGGGGTTGGAGGAGACCTCAGGAGATAATCTAGTCCAATCCCCCGCTCAAAGCAGCAGTAACACCAATTAAATCATCCCAGCCAGGGCTTTGTCAAGCTGGGCCTTAAAAACCTCTAAGGATGGAGATTCCACCAGCTCCCTAGGTACCTGATTCCAGTGCTTCACCACTCTCCTAGTGAAATAGTGTTTCCTAATATCCAACCTAGACCTTCCCCACTGCAACTGGAGACCATTGCTCCTTGTTCTGTCATCTGCCACCACTGAGAACAGCTGAGCTGCATCCTCTTTGGAACCTCCCTTCAGGTAGTTTAAGGCTGCTATCAAATCCCCCCTCACTCTTCTCCAGGGGCGGGGAGTTGTATGGGCCCGTGGTGCCTGTGCTCCAGGAATATTCAGAGCACGGGAGCCCAGCTCCACCAATATTCGGAGCCTGATCTCTCCCCTGGCCATGCCTGCTGCCCCTGCGCGTCTCCTGGCCCTGCCTGCCGCCCCCGGGAGATTTAAAAGGGCCCAGGGGCCCCTGCCACCACCACTGGCAGCACAGCGAGGCTAAAGCAGCTTCCTGCCCGCCCTCACTCTGCGTGGCGCATCACTCCCAGAAGCGGTTGGCACGTCCCTGCGGCCCCTGAGGTGTGTGTGTCTCTGCTCGCTGCCCCTGCCCTGAGCACCGACTCTGCAATTGGAACTGTGGGCATTGGAAGCTGCATGGAGGCTGCCTGCAGGCGGAGGCCCCCGGGCCCCCTGCCTAGGAGCTGCTGCCAGAGGGTTGTGCAGGTTGCCTTTGGGAGCCGCCCAAGGTAAGCGCTGCACCCCTCACCCCCTTCTGCACCCCAACCTCCTGCCCCAGCCCAGAGCCCACAGCCCACACCCAGCACTCAAACTCCCTCCCAGACAGTGGCGGATTAATGATTTTGCCGCCCCTAGGCTCTGAAATAATTGCTGCCCCACCCGCCCCTGGCCCCGCCCCGACTCCACCCTTTTCCCACCCCCATTCCAACCCCTTCCCCAAAGTCCCGCCCCAACTCCGCCCCCTCCCTGCCCCTATTGGATCCCTTCCCCAAATCCCCATCCCGGCCCCACCTCTTCCCCCAGCGCGCCGTGTTCCCCCTCCTCTCCCCTCCCTCCCTGCCCTGCGAAACACCTGTTTCGTGGCACAAGCGCTGGGAGGGAGGGGAGAGAAACAGGACGCGGCGGCGCGCTTGCGGAGGAGGCTAGCTGGAGCAAGGGAGCTTCTCCGTGGGTGCTCAAATTTGCTGCCCCTGCAAATTTGCCGCCCTAGGCCTAGTCCTTGTTGGCCTAGGCAATAATACGCCGCTGCTCCCAGAGCCTTAGGCAGGGGGGAGGGGACTGGGACCCATTCTGGGCACCACCAAATTTATACAAACCTGCCGCCCCTGCTCTTCTGCAGACTAAACAAGCACAGTTCCCTCAGCCTCTCCTCATAAGTCATGTGCCCCAGCCCCCTGATCATTTTCGTGGCCCTCCGCTGAACTCACTCTAATTTGTCCACATCCTTTCTGTAGTGGGTGTGCCCAAAACTGGATGCAATACTCCAGATGTGGCCTCACCAGTGCTGAATAGAGGGGAATAATCACTTCCCTCGATCTGCTGGCAATGCTCCTACTAATGCAGCCCAATATGCTATTAGCCTTCCTGGCAACAAGGGCACACTGCTGACTCATCCAGCTTCCCGTCCACTGTAATCCCCAGGTCTTTTTCTGCAGAACTGCTGCTTAGCCAGTTGGTCCCCAGCCTGTAGTGGTGCATGGGATTCTTCTGTCCAAAGTGCAAGACTCTGCACTTGTCCTTGTTGAACCTCATCAGATTTCTTTTCGTCCAATCCTCCAATTTGTCTAGGTCACTCTGGACCCTATCCCTACCCTCCAGTGTATCTACCTCTCCCCCCAGCTTAGTGTCATCTGTGAACTTGCTGAGAGTGCAATCTATCATTAATAAAGATGTTGAACAAAACCGGCCCCAGGACCGACTCCTGGAGCACTCCGCTTGATACCGGCTGCCAACTAGACATTGAGCCATTGATCATTACCCCTTGAGCCCGACGATCTAGCCAGCTTTTTATCCACCTTATAGTCAATTCATCCAATCCATATTTTTTTAACTTGCTGACAAGAATACTGTGGGAGACCGTATTAAAAGCTTTGCTAAAGTCAAGATATATCACATCCACTGCTTTCCCCATATCCACAGAGCCAGTTATCTCATCATAGAAGGCAATCAGGTTGGTCAGGCATGACTTGCTCTTGGTGAATCCATGTTGACTGTTCCTGATCACCTTCCTCTCCTCCAAGTGCTTTAAAATGGATTCCTTGAGGACCTGCTCCATGATTTTTGCAGGGACTGAGGTGAGGCTGACCGGTCTGTAGTTCCCCGGGTTTTCCTTCTTCCCTTTTTTAAAGATGGGCACTATATTTGCCTTTTTCCAATCATCCGGGACCTCCCCCGAGCACCATGAGTTTTCAAAGATAATGGCCAATGGCTCTGCAATCACATCAGTCAATTCCCTCAGCCCCCTCGGATGCATGAGATCTGGACCCATGAACTTGTGCATGTCCAGCTTTTCTAAATAGTCCTTAACCTGTTCTTTCACCATTGAGAGCTGCTCGCCTCCTCCCCATACTGTATTGCCCAGGACAGCAGTGTGGGAGCTGACCTTGTCTGTGAAGACCGAGGCAAAAAAAAAGCATTGAGTACTTCAGCTTTTTCCACATCATCTGTCACTAGGTTGCCTTCCCCATTCATGAAGGGTCCCACACTTTCCCTGACCTTTTTCAGGTTGCTAACCTACCTGTAGAAAAATCTTCTGGTTACCCTTCACAACCCTTGCTAGATGCAAGTCCAGTTGTGTTTTGGCCTTCCTAATTACACCCCTGCATGCTCTAGCAATATTTTTATACTCCTCCCTAGTCATCTGACCAAGTTTCCGCGTCTTGTAAGCTTCCTTTTTGTGTTTAAGCTCACCGAAGATTTCACTGTTAAGCCAAGCTGGTCACCTGTCATATTTGCTATTCTTTCTGCACATTGGGATGGTTTGTTCCTGCGCCCTCAATAAGGCTTCTTTAAAATACAGCCAGCTTTCCTGGACTCCTTTCCCCCTCATATTAGTCTCCCAGGGGATCCTGCCCATCACTTCCCTAAAGGAGTCAAAATCTCTAAATTAAAGG